TTGACTTGGTGACAATCCTTATCTTCTCTTGTCTGCCCAAAACATCATTGATAACATCAGAATTGGAACCACTTAAAAACATGAAAGTTGTAAGAAATTGTCTTAGCTTTCCAGGAAAAAAAATGAAGGTCAGTTGAACTTTTAGAACTCCAGATATGGGCCAAATACTAAATAATATCTAGGCTGCAAGATAAAATAACTCCAGATATGGGCCAAATACTAAATAATATCCAGGCTGCAAGATAAAATCAGACTTCTTCATTGTTGCTATAATTTGGAATTGAAAATGGCCTTTTTAAATCTTAGGCTCCATAAAAGTTGTAGGCTTATGCTTTATCTTTCCATCCATATTTTAAATCTTAGGCTCCATAAAAGTTGTATGCTTATGCCTTACCTTTCTATCCATATAAAGTAGAGCTAAATCCGAGATCTACAACTTTAGATATGATCCAATTACCGAACAGTGTTCCGGTTTGTACTGCATCAATATCTCTTTTTTAAGTTTGACCATCTCTTTATCCTTTCAATTTCAGTTCTTAAACTCATTAATCAATCCTTTCATTTATGTGATAGACTTGCATTTAAAATGAACATTTACCACAAATTAAAGGTATTTTATATTATTAGATATCTTATTATAAAACATGCTTTAGTTGAGTTATTGATACTTTAAGTGCAAAATAATGATATAAAATCTTGATAAAAATAAACTTTTAAGTACTAATCAGTATAAGAAAAAAAAGATGTAAGGAAGCCAATAACTGAAATCAGCAGTTGCAACATCTATTTTTTTTCGTTCTTGCTATCTACAAGAAGGAGGATGAACAGTGCAAAGGTAATTTAATTACCTTTCCACTGTTCATTCATGTGTAAAACATTACACATGTATGGATGGCTGGGTCTTGGTCACTGGAATGGGCTAGTGACCAGCCCAGCCCGAAAAAATAAAAATAAAATTTTCTTCAAAATTATTTCAAAACAAAATCTATGATTTTCCACATATTTTTTTTTACTGAATTTTGCTTAGTACTAGATTGTATATTTATACTGTAAAAATACAAATCCATTATTAAAATACCTGATTTTCATCAAAATAATATTTTATTTTCATATATACGGTCAAGTCTCTCAAAAATAAAAATAAAAAAAATTCATATTGTATTTTTATACAAGAATAGGAAAATGTTTTTCTAAAAATATATTAGCATGCATTTTGGCTTTAATATTCAGTTTATTAAAGTCATAAGAACTAGGCCAATATTTCAAAAAGTTAAAAAAAAATGATTTTGTTTTCTTTTAATATTTGGGGTTGTGACCTTATACGTAGGACGTATTTTAGATATTAAATTCTTTTGTTGACATTAGAATTACTCGATAAAGTAAGGATCTCCTAACCGAGGAGGACTTTTCTTAAACCATAGA